GACTTTGGTTGCTTGTAGAGCAAGTTCTTTGAGACATTTGCAGCTCCTTTTACAAAGAGAGGTTTGCTTCTCAAGTTTTTGATTATTGGAGGAGGATCTTTGCTTACTTATGTTAGTGCTTCTTCGACCGGTGATGTTCTTCCTATCAAGAGAGGTCCTCAAGAGCCACCTAAGCTCGGTCCTCGCGGCAAGCTGTAAACTAGTTTTCTTCTCCAATTCTGTGAACCTTTTTCATGATTCATGTATGTGTTGTGTTGTTTGCTTTGTAAGCTACTGTGAATTGAGTAACAAGTATGATGAATCAATGAAATTGCATTTAAAGTCATGCATACAACACAATGGTGCTTCTTTTTTTCATTGAATCATTGAAATGCAACAAGCAAAACCTAATTTTACAAAGGAAGAAAGAAACCGATTTTTTCTTTCAGGAGTATCGCGCGGTTGGACTTCTCATTGTTCCAAGAGTTTCAAGATAAGAATTCTTCTTGTTGTTTGTCATAATACCTGTGACTTTAGACAACAATGGTTTCTCTCTATCTCCTCCATAAAAGCTTTCTTTCTTCAGTTCATTGTTTTTGTTACCCCATTGCATAACATCAGATAGTGTTCCTGAAGCATTTTCCTCTGAGAAACTGAATCTTTCCTCTTTCGGTTTCTCGGTCTCTTTCAAAAGATGTCTATTCTTACAAGCTGCATTTGATGGTTCTTGAGTAATCTGATCAGCGAAGAGCACGTCTTCTATTTTTGACATTACCGTGTGAGCCAAGCTCTCAAGCACTCTCGAGTAACTCTCCAATATAGCAAGTCCTACATCCTGCAAATAACCGAAACCGCAAATCAGATTTTCTTAAGACCAAAAAGGAAACAGAATCAAAATGTGTGTATGGAGCTTTTAATTACTCGGTTGAATTGAATCTTGCTGATATCGAGAGCGGATTGAGAGATTCCTGGAAAGCCTTGTTTCAATAGGAGCAAGATTGTTTCAGCTCTTTCTTCAAATTGTTCTCTTTTCTCAATACTCACTGTTGATCCCCAAGGAGCCTTAGTGTCCTTTTGTACCATTTTCCTTTTCCATATCACAATCGATGCTTCGATTCTGTTCTTTAAATCAAGAATCTTGTGTTCAGATGATAAATCCATTTCAATAAGAAACTGATCTGCATCAAACATCTCTACTGTTATCATTCTGTATATCACATCTCCCAAGCTAGCTCTCCCATTCTGTTTTCAACACACGCAAAGAAACGTCGATAAGGACCAGATCATAACAAACAGAGGATTCTTGAAAATGGTTATAGGTGAATAACCTTAGGAAGTGACTCAAGGTAGCTTTCAGGAATCTCCATTTCAGATAGAACTTGTGCGTTTATAGCCATTGCCGCTTTAAGGACTTGATTCACACACTCCTTTTGGCTCTGTAGAAACCTTCTCGCTATCTCGGAGAGACCGTTAGGTGGGACTTTAACAGCCGGTAACCACCATTTCTCATCGTTCCTTGACTCTGAAGAATCAGGAGAATCTTTTTTGACATAATAGAACTCATTCTGATCCTTGAACTTAT